TTGAAGGTTTCATAAAATGTGTAATGGCAAAGATGAAACTGCGAAATTAGAAAGACGTGCACAGCATCAAGATGTGCATGAGCCCCATCAACCCACATGCTACCCGCGTCAACACGTGTACACCCAACACATCTGACGTATCCACCTCAGTGCTGACTCACGCTGACCCATTTAAAAACGTCAGTTTGTGCTGTGCCCACTGCCGCGTTGCTCAGCACCAGGCTTGGACATGTCGAGCTGCCTGTGGTGCAGTTTGCATCAGGCTGTAGACTTCCCTCCGCCCAGTTCGGGGGGCGCGGCCCGCGCTGACGCGTCGCCTCTGTCGGCAGGCCGCCGCACGCTCGTCCGAACATGATGGAGCGCCGCCTGCTGTCAGCCGGCCTGCTGCTGCTGGCCGTGCGGTTCGCCGCGCCGATCAACCCCGGTCGCGACCTGGTGGTGCACTACTGCTGCCCCGACCTGGCGCTCTTCAACACCACCTCGGGTACGTGCGACACGCGGCAGACGGACGCCGAGTGGCTGCCGCCCTGGACGCACCGCAACGGCAGCCGCATGACCATCGGACCCGGCACCGTGTACACGCTCATTCATGGGCTACCCCAGCTGCGGCGCCTTCCTCTACCGGCCGGACAAGTCGCCGCGCGAGGACGACTTCCTGGCGCTGCCCAGCGGCGACCTGTACTTCCCTTCTACAACACCACCGTCCCGTCGGACGAGTCGTGCATCGTGGAGGTGGCCGGCGCCGCCGACCGGCTGCACTTCGCCGTCGTCTGCATGGACAGCATCAAGCTGCCCGGCCCCAAGAAGGAGGGTCCCGTCTCGCAGATGATCAGGACCTGGGTCTACCCGGCACCATGCTCGTCAGCGAGGTGTTCATCGTGCTCACGACTCATCACTTTACGCCCTGCTGCCCGAGATGCGGGGACCTGCAGGGACGTACCATCATCTGCACGCTCATCTCGCTCTTCATGGCATACCTCATGTTCATCATAGTGACGCGGCCAGCCACCAGCTCGGCTCTGGAGCATGCCTCGGATTCGGTGAGTGGCCGACGGGTGGGGGTGAGGGGGTGAGGGGGGAGGGGGGGGAGGGCTCTCTCCGGCTGGAATTTTCGTGGGTGTCTTGACATGGCGAGAGGCTCGAAGGACTGGTCTGGAAGTGTTTTGATGTCCCTGAATGTGTGCACGGCATCCAATGAAGTGCGAGATATGTTGGTTGTGTTCGATATGCATGTGGTGTTGGACGGGGTGTGGAATTTAGTGAGCAGCTCATGTTTGAAAAGGTTGTTACTTTTGGGCGGCGCTCAATGACCATTTGCCGTCGATGCGCCGATAATTTCCAACTCATCATACTTTTGGAAGGGTGCTCCTGCTGAGATGAATCTGTTAGACAAGGCGTTTTTGGGGGGCGCTTCACTTTTCGACGGGTCCAAGGATCCGTGTTCGGCACGTGGTAAGTAAACTGCTTGCGTCCGGCCCGTGGTTCGGTAGGCGACTGTTGCTGGTCCACTGGCGAGCTGGTGCTGTACTCCACACAGAGGACTCAGGCAAGGTGCCCGATCTCAGACAGGGCCAGCGTCACAGGCTCGGTGTCACAGGCTCAAGAGGAGGCAATTTCATCACTTGAAGCTGGCAGTGCAGTGCGCGCATAGCAGAAGTAGTTAAGGCGTGCGCTATAGTTTAGGGTGTCTATTTGTTAACCTGTTTATTCACTTATGGTTAGCGACAGGCGGATGTCACCCAATTACAGCTGAAGTCATGAGGTTAAAACATGACGATGAATGCGAAACACCGTTTATAAACAGTCTATAGCTGGTAGTAAGCCAACCACTCTAAACTGTATGTGAGCGAGATAAGTGCAATTTTAGACCTGGCGGCTGTTTCACATATACTTCGCTTGTGACGTTTAAACGGCTATCGTTTCGGCTATGGAATGTGAGGCGAAGGACGTGCAGCAGAAAAAGTGCTACTGAAGCACGGAACATGCACAAACAAACCACGTTTGACTGTGCCGCTTCCTGCAAAAGGCACGCGTTAAGGCACGCTTGCTTGCGCTCCAGTAAGCGGGGTCGCAGTATGCAATGCAAAGCTCCTTCAGACAAGCAATGTACCGACAGTTACAGATGGTATTTTTACAAATAGAGTCTCAAACTGCTTCCACATGTGAACGAGCGAGGAAAAATGAAAAGACTGGAACGTTTTATGCTTTATTTTACGCTTTAAGCCTGTTTGCTATCATTTTTGTTGCGACCTGTCACGCTCATCGCAGCTCAAGTAGGTCAAGTGGAGAGGTAGGCACTCTTGAACGAACGCTCTGTTTTCATGAAGTAAACCCTCAGCCCTGAGATTTTACGTCCGGAAGGTCGTTGGCGAGGTCGACACAGGCGCTGTTCAAAGCAAACGCCTCGTGAGGGCTCGTTTCACCGTCGACTTACAGCATGTACAGCAGTGGCAGGGGGATCAGCTTGTACTGCGACAGTATGGTACAGCAGTGGTAGGGGGATCAGCTTGTACTGCGGCGGCCTCTCAACATCATACATCATGACTCGCTAATAGCTGGGAGATGCTGAGGCGCATATCACAGGATGGGAATGTCGCTCTGTTGTGCCGTCACGGGCTGACACGTCAACTGAAAATGACGGTGAAATTTGGGCTGCCTGCCGGAACACTCACAACAATTGCAGCTGAACTCGTCAGCGCGGAAAGCGAAGAGTTCGGTGGTGAGAACGCTACGGTTTCGCCTGTCGCACTGACGCTTAAATCTCATCGATATGTTTCAGAGAATACGAGAGACTCGGATGTGCTCGATTTTTTAACCACGCAAATCCCGGCCGGAAAACATGCGGCGCTTCACTTTTGTCCTGGATTGTATTCCAACTCCGTGAGATCCAAACCATGGCCATTACACGGTAACCATTATGCGCTAAACTTTGCTAGAAACATCACAGTGTAAAGCAAAAACTCGTGGCCAGGGATGCCATGTAAATCGAAATTGCTATCATGTTTTCGCACGTGACACAAAAATGGTGGCAAACGCAAGATGCGCGGATCACCTTTTCTCACCAGGTTGACTCCCTTTAAGCAGTCTTGTGAACATGCAGACAATGCTTGTACGACATAGCCAGACAATTATATAAACACACTATTTTTGCTCTACAGAGATCAAGTACGACTTTGATTTAACCACCATGCTCTCCGCAACATAGCGTTCTTGAGTCTTAAGCACAAAGCGTACCTGCCGCGGGTTTTTTGGTGTGTGAGACTCATGTTTCAGAACCAGAAAAACTAGTTACCAAGCCTTTCAAGGTGAACTGGCGAAAATCCGTTTTCATGGCCTCGTAAAGTCTTTGAGCAACTCGCGCGCTTGTGGAATACTCCTGCCTGCAGCATAACAAATCAGTTGTGTAACCACACTTCTACACCAAATTGCGCGCGACTTTGGCTTCCATTCATTTAGCGCGTGAGACGGGAGACCATGGCTGATTAAGTCACTGCCAACCGGCTGGCATCCACGGCGTGACGTCACAAGATCATTAGTGTAGCTTGTTGGGCGGCTCCCGTAGCTCTGGACCGATCACCGGGTGTAGGCCAGCACGCTGGGGATCTCGACCCAAAGGATCACGTATTTGGTAGGGTCCGGATGTGCATGTATATGCTCCTCGTCATGGAAATTCCTGGTCGCTGGCTCCAACGGTGGGGTGTAACCATAGGCAGATCCTGGGGGGGAGGGGGGGGGGGGGGGGGCAGCACGGGGCCATGGCCCCCAAAAAAACTCTGAGAGTATGTTTTGCCCCCCCCCAAAAAAACATTCCCAGAACTTCATAAAAGTTTCGTCCACTGACCTCAAAAGATGTACCTCAAAATAATAGCCTACATAATAGCAAACACATAATAGCAAAATACTACCTCAAAATGAGGGCTACGAGCTTTGTAAACATGCATACCGTATAAAGAAAATTCAAAAGCATTTCGGTGCTTGAATGGTGTCCCTACTATGTACTCGCTGGAGGCACCATGCACTAGACCTCGGATCCCACACCAGCCAGCTGGCGACGAACGGTTGCCCCCCCCCCCCCAAACAAAAAATACTCCAGGCTAGATCCGCCTCTGAGTGTAACAGTCCGGATCCGCGCCACTGACAGCACGTGGGTGCTCGTTTCAGGCCTGTTTCCTGCACTACTGGATGCTGGCCTCATTCTTCTGGCTGAGCGTTGTGTCGCTCACAGTCTACTACACCACCAGGTGAGGCGAACACGGTCCGGCCGGTGCTCCGGCGCAGCCCCCCCCCCCCCCCTCCCCGACGCAGCGGAGCGCCCCTCCCCCCCCCCCCTGCCTGCGCTGCCGCCGCGTCAAGCAGGATGTCCATAATGCGCCAGCAACGCATGCAGTAGCATGCAGATGGGGATTACCAGACACGCTCACCAATGGAGTGAACAGTGTCGGCCGGGCACAGGATGTCAACAGAAGCATGCAACACCTTTGTGTCGGCACGCCCGGCCTGCCGCGGTACCCCGCGGCGAACTGCCGCGTCACACGCGCCTGTTCAGCACGGCCGCTTCATGGAAGACAAAGCGTGCTGGGAGCTCGCTGCCATTGCGTGATATGCCATGGAATTCCCGAGATGTGCTCAATGCAACGGAGTTAGAATAAGCCTCATTTAACCTATTTGGCCACGTAAACGCCCAGCATATACCGGTCAGCCGGATTTTATTCTTCGCCATCAGCGAGTCAAGTAGTGAGGGAGACTTTGTGAGCTCACCGTCCACCACAGGCGGTATATGCGCCATGAGCAGGGCGTCGCCTGTCCTGGTGCGCACTCCGTGGCGCGTCATGAGACGCCGACGTGCGGCCAACAGGCGCTGGGGCGGCCGCACGCTGGAGGAGGAGCGCCGCTGGTTATCTACCTGAGCGTGTTCGGCTGGTGCGCGCCGCTGCTGTTCACTCTGGCCGCCGTCATCGTCGACTTCAGCCCCAGCACGTCCGAGTACCTGATCCGGCCGCACATCGCCAGCACCTCCTGCTGGTTCGGCAGTGAGTGCGAAGGCGGGTCGAGCCGCCGCGTCGGCTTCGCGGGCGGACGCGGCGGAGGGGCCTCGCCACGGGGATGTCAGAGTTGGCGTGGGGATCTCGAGGACAGCGTGCAGGCGTCAGAGGACGTGTCTGCCGGCGAAGAGGGTCGGCTTGGTGAACCGGTCTGGCGCGCTAGCAGAAAGAGGCTGTGCGGTTTGATGGCACGCTACAGTTCGTCATTCCCGGTTATCTTCGTTCGTTCCAGACCCATGAACCGCATTAAGGACCATGTTACTGCACACTGTTGACTCTTTTTGAGTAAACACGTGACGCTGTCTCGAGTAAACGCGAGACGCTGTCTTGAGTAAACGCGAGACGCTGTCTTGAGTAAACGCGAGACGCTGCCTTAAGTAAACATGACACGTTGTCTTAAGTAAACACGATGTGCTGTCTTGAGTGAACACGAGACGCTGTCTTAAGTAAACACGATATGCTGTCTTGAGTGAACACGATATGCTGTCTTGAGTGAACACGAGACGCTGTCTTGAGTGAACACGAGACGCTGTCTTGAGTAAGCACGATATGCTGTCTTACTCGCGGCCAGATCGGAACGCGGAGTTGGCCTACTTCTTCGGTCCCGTGACGCTGCTGATCGTGGCGAACGTCGTCCTCTTCGTCATGAGCGCCATCAACATCTACAAGAATATGGACGGAGCGCAGAAGCTGGATGACGACGGCGAGCACAAGGGGAAGAGCAGGTCAGCTAATGCCACTAACCCTGGGTCGACGGTACCGGAGTGGGATGGGCTGGATGCTTTCCAATCATATGGAAGCATAACATCACGCCCATGGCGTTGCATAGAGAGAGGGAGCATAAGTTCCCCCCCCCCCCCTCCCCCCAACCATCAGACGGTGACACTGCCCCTGAGCATAGTATAGTAGGCTCTTCAAGCAACGACCAAATAAAGCCATTGTATCGATCGTTTTCCTGCAGCCGTCTCAACCGTGTGCCAGAGGGAATGGGTTTCGGTTTTTTGTTTTCGAGGGACGCTGACCGGTCGAATAAACCAGGCTCGAGCCATGAGAACATTTTCCACTTGGTGTTCACTTTTTGTTAACTTTTGGTCAAGTTGATGAGCAGGGATTGAGATCTGGTCCAGATTTTAATCCGTTGAAATCTGGACCAGATTCAGATTTTCAGATTTGCTGGACCTGGATCAGATTTCGGCGCTGCAGCGACATGTTACTAACGTTCTGACCGAGGGGGATACAGACAACGTTACTGGTCAAGGGGGGGGGGGATCGATGTGTGTGTGGAAGTTGGTGCGCCGTCTGGGGCAAGCCATGAACTTGCTCGTGTCGGAACGTTTCCAAGGGTTGGTGCCAGATCTCAGCCAACAGCGGAGACGAGCTGAAGTCGACGCTGGTGGGGCTGATCGTCCCGGGCGCAGCTCACCAACGAATTCCCAAGTTGTCTCACCAATACCTTCCCTCGTTGCTGGTCATGAGACGGCTAATGCCGCTTTCCTGAAGCAGATCTCGATTACAGGATGCCATGAGCTTGACGTGAGAGAGAGTTTGTGCCGTAGGCATGTCACAGGCGCGGAGCACTGCTAAATGAACCAACAACAAACCCAAATATTTATCGTACCATTTTGTGTGCAACCGCCATAAGCTAAATGCTGGGAAATTTGTCTATTTCGGCCCTTGGAGCTACTAAGCCACACCAGACCCATGGCCGTCTCTAGACTATCGTGTTTGTTAAATGGCGCACAAATTCTGCATCACTAGGCCCCCGTCTCCTAAATCATCATAAAAGGTGACATTCGAAAGCGTTGAGGCAGCCGATTGTTCTGGGTTGCCGAAGGTGTCCAGCTCTGTTGGCTTGGTTTTAGCATCATCTACCTGATCGTCTTGCACAAGGGACGAGGTCCCTTGTGCGGGACGGATCCCTCACAAGGGAGGCGGTGCCCGCCCTCCCTGCCAAGGTGAGAGGCGGGCGACGCCATATAGCCTCAGCAGCTGAGCGCGTCGTAAAGCCCCAATGACACACACACACACACACGACCTCGTCCCCTGGGGGAGCCGTCCCACACGAGCTGCGTTAACCACTACCCTACCGGCACCCCAAAGGACGAGGTCCTTCGTGAGGGATGGACCCCTCATAAGGGACGAGGTTCCTCCTGCGGGACAGGTCCCTCGTGTGGGATGGATCCCTCACAAGGGACGAGGTTCCCCCTGCGGGAGAGGTCCCTCATAAGGGACGAGGTCTCTCGTGCAGGATGGATCCCTCACAAGGGACCAGGCTCCTCGCTTGGGACAGGTCCCACACAGGGCGTCCTGCTGGTATTCAGCACCCACATGACGAGGCGATTGGGTGTAGTTTGCCTCCTTTGTTTCATCTGGCGAGAAGCCTGCAATTCAATGTCATTTGTTTCAGATTGAAGATGTGCTTCAAGGTCTTCTTCGTCATGGGTATTACCTGGGTGTTCGAGGTGTTACAGTTCTTCATCAACGATAGTACCGAGATCTGGTAAGAAAACGATACGCATATCCAAATCGCCCGGCGTGATGATCATGATGCCCAGGTCCGTTGCAGCCACGCGAAGTGAGAGATAACTGTAACTTTTTTGTCCATGAACGGGGATGCGATTTTGAACGTTTGCGCTGATTGAACAAATTCTGCTTGGAAGAAGAGCACGTAAAGTTTGGGTGTCGTTGTTGGTATTTTTATCGACCCGAACAGTTCACTCGGTTAGAACGTCTGTCTCCCAATCTCCCCGTATCGGGGTGGGTAGGTTCAAGTCGCTTCCGGGGCTCGCCTTTACCCCGGGCTGGGATGACCTACGGCCGTTGGCAGCGCCTGCTTAAGACCAGATGAGGTCAGAGGGCGGGGCGGATCGTATGGAGGATTGCGATTGTGGCACGTTGATCTTTTGCCTCAAATTTCTGTCGTTTGCCTGGAAGTGCAGGATTGATGGTGAGGTCAGAGCTCACACAAGTCCTGCTTAGCGTGGGCCCTCCTCCCAGAATAGTTTTTATCAAAATGTTTGGGTAGGATCTATTTTCACAATACTGATCTAACCGTTGATGAATCGTGGCTCACTAAATATTCATCATGAATCAAATGGTAATTAGCTACGCCACCGGTTGACTGAACTATGTATGCTTCCCACAGGATCCTCTTCGATATCCTGAACATGCTGCAGGGCTTCTTCATTTTTGTAGCGGTGGTGCTGAGCGACAAGAGAGTGCGCCAGAAGCTGATGGAGCGGCTGAGCCAGCTGGGTTGCTGGAAGCAGAAAGCCAAGGCCACCACCGACATTACCCGTCTCGACGAAGAGATCGGACAAAACCGAAGCAGCGAGGAAGTGTTTTGAGCCCTTGGCGGCGCTCCGTTCTAACCACCACCGACCACCAGAGACTTTGCCGACCCTGGCTTGAAGGGAAGGACATGCGCGTCATGAACTGAGAGTCGCGCTCAATGCGACCGATGCGATGCCATGCGATCTTGAGTGCCGAGAGAACGTTCTCCAGTGGGGACACCTGCCGGGCGGTATTGCGATCGCGTTTCGATTCGGCGCCACCAGAGTGGCACCGGCACATCAGCACCATTTCGTGGCCGGACTCGGGTCGCGAGGGGCTGTTCGTGGTGTGACGTCACGGCCATGTTCAGACCACGGGTGCAAGGCCAGCGCCGGTGGCAAGGCGCACGAACTTCGCACCCTGTGACCATTGCGGCGCAGGTAGAATCGACGCCGGGTGTCGGCGTCCTGCCTGCACGTGGGCCGGGCGGTGGTAGCCTGGGCTGGGCGGAGGGCCGGAACGCGGCTCCGGCGGGCTCGGGCGAGTGCCATCTAGCGGGCGCAGCGAGAAACAAGCGGGCGCCCCGGAAGCGCCAGGTGGCCTCCGCTCTCTAGTGCTGCTCCGAATCGGCTGACGCGCGGCTGGGCCTGAAACCGTGATTATCTTCGCCGTCCGATGACCTGCTGTAAGCGGTCAGCGATTCAGTCCCACCCCATTGGAACAGAGTGGGGTTGAGTCCTTCGGTGACTGCATGTGTAACAGTTTGTGAGAGTGCGGGGATAAGCCATTAAGCGTAAGACATCTAGTGTTCGTGTCTTATGGACGTCAATGTGATTTCTTTGCCCGTTTTCCCGTAAATCCTTTATGGTTTAGCTGCAAATGGTCGTAAATGATGGGGTCTGTTTCATTTTGTGAGTGTGTTTCCGATGGTGAACACAAAATCTTATCTGTATCAGCAATAGAGAAGATTTACACAGTATTCGCGTTTGTGCTGCCTAGCCAACATGCCATTCAGTTCTGAAACCTTTCCCAGCAACAGTGATATCCACCACAGTATTTGAATGGGACTGGCAGATGCAACAACACCAATTCTAACAGTAACGTCTGTTGACACCTGCAGGGCATTGGCCAAACAGGCGAAATACACCTAAGTGTAATTAAAACATATTATGCTTCTGCTCTCAGGCTTTCCTGGCGCGCGCGGAAACAACGCTGGTGAGACCCACCCTCTAGGTCCTAGGTCATGGTGCCTGGGTGTGTAGATGGCGGCAGGAGTTTGTCCTGCTTGACCAGCATGGCGACTGGTCCCAGAAAATCGGGTGTACAAAAGGGCATCGTAGGTGCCCTTCTTGCCAGGGCAACAAGCCAGCGATGCTAGCGATGTATTTAACAGTTAAATGTGTCGTAAAGCCTCATTGACAGCAACAAAAGCATTACTACCGGCACATAATACATTTACTACTGACGCAGCTTAGATGAAACATTCAAAACGATTGCACAAAAAAATTTATGTTCTGTAAATCATGGAATCATTTTTTAGCGGCGGGCGGCTCTGAAACCAAACCCATTAATGCGGTGACCCGTCCGTCCTCAAATCTACCACTATCAGTTGTGGTAGAACACAGGGACGAAAAGAGCATTCAAACACTTCCGAAGGCTTAGCGGCAAGCGGCACATGCTGAGATATGACGACGCAGCGCGACCAGATTCAGGCGGTGAAGTGAAGTAAAAAAATGTGTTCTGGATGATGTGGTCACTCTCGTGAATAAGGTAGCACATGGTTTGATAAAAAAGTCCAGTGTTTTGTTAATGAGGCCCTTTGCTTGCTCGCGAGGCTCAGTTACATACTAGGATCATCATCACGCTGAGCAGCTGACCCATCTGCCTCCCGAGATAGCCAGGTAGACACATGTCTGGGTGCGCGTAGATGGCGTGAAACGACCGCTCTCTGCGCCCTGCACAGCCCCACTAGCTGCCGTGCAACGCGTCGCCAACTGGTTTCACGTTCGCCCGGCTTCTGGCCAACTCGACGCCGTCTCCATTGATCGCCTCCAGCCCGCTGTCTTCTCTGTCGTCGCTGACGACGAGCCTCAACTCGACATCGTCCTGCAGCTGATGCGCGCCGAGAACCCGCCTCGCAGATGTGTGTCGAGACAGCCCACGCTCAGCCCACGGTCGGCCCATACAAGCGGCCCCTCCAAAAATGCTCAAAATGGGGTATGTTAACGGTCCATATGAACTGAACGCATCCATATGCCGCAATGCGCGGGGATACAAAATTTTGGCTTCTTTAGCTAGTTTCACAAATTAACATGCGAAAAGTCAATACTGAACAAATCAAGCAAGTCATACAAGTTAAATGATGTGCTGTGTCCAATTTAGTCCATGGTGTCACGGCATTTCTCGGAAAAGTCCCAAAAACTCAGCAAAATTGCAGTGAAGCCAATTTTTAGACAAACCAAACCTCTGCCCACATGGAGCCCACGGTCGGACAATGCAGGCGAATAATTCTCAGATACATTTGCGCTGGTCATGTGGAACATCTCTCTCCTTGCAAATTAGGCCTGATAAAGCAGGTTCCCACCCAAAAGCCGACGGTGAGATATCTCACCGTCAAAGTCAAATCTCACCGAATAGGATCGTGCTGCACATCAAACGACTCGGCTTGATATGCTGGATCTAAACCTAGATATCGTCTTTTATTTGCTTTGTTGGTCGCAGAGTTACAAAAACATGAGATCAGTTTTTCACCCAACACTTTATTTCCCATTGACATTAGCATGGCAGCCAGTGGGACTGGTTTCGTCGGCCCCTTAACATTTCCCTGATTTTCCGATAAACTGTGACTGGACATCTTACACATCAGATCCCATAAAAAATAAGCCCAGGAAAACAAGATGTCACCCATAATCTCGATGTGCGAAATCTCGCCGAAAGTCAAATTTCACCGAATGTGGTCGTGTTGTACATAAAACGCATCGGCTTGACGTGCTGAGTCTAAATATGGGCCTTGTTTTACTATTTGCATGTTCGGTTGCTTAGTTACAGTGATGTGAAATCAGCTTTATACCTGATGCTTTATTTTCTCTAGAGCTTAACATGGGCGTCAATGGGACTGATTTCGTCGATCCCTAAGATTTCCCTGATTTTTAGATGAGCCGTACTTGAACATCTATCATTTCAGTTCCCATGAAGCATAAGCCGTGGAAAACAAGTGCTGACCCCTATATCCAGGTGAAATATCCCACCTCGGAGTTACCATCAAGTAAAATCAGCAAATCAAATCTCCCCAGATGTGTTCTTGTTGTACATGACACGACTCGCCTTGACAGGCTGATCCTACATCTGGGCCTTGTTTTTGATTTGCAATAGGCTGGTGAAAACTGGTTCTCACCTTTGAACTCGAGGTGAGATATCTCACCAAATGTCAAATCTCACCGAGCATAGTAGTGTTGTACATCAAACGGGTCGGCATGACATGTTCATACTAAATATGCCCATTCTGTGATATCTAAATAATATAATGATATAAATGTCTAAACATAAATATCTAAATATCTCATTTCAATATTTCACCAATGCTTCTATTGAGATTAACATGAGTGTTGTATCGTAGCCTCGACATCGTCGTTGTAGTTCATGGGCGCACCGCGAGTGGCGCCGCTGCCGGGCGTTGGGAGGCAGTCGGCCCGGAGCCGCCGTGCCGCGGGGTTGCTATTTCCTACTTTGTAAACTGAACTCACGTTAACGTTAATTAACAGTTCGGAGACACAACAATGAGCATAGGCGTAGGAACGTTCCAAAAACTTCAAAAACACCAAGTTCAGGGTGTACTTCAGGAACTTTTTGTGCTCCGCGCCCGGCCGGACCAGGACCGGCCGACCTGACCCGCCCGGCCACCGCCGTGCCCCTCACTTTCTCCGCTGCTGGCGGCTGCGCACGGCGCTGCTGCTGACGGCTGAGCTCAGCGCTGCTGATCACAGGCGATCGGTGACCTCGGGCGCGCGAACAGCCGTCGCGCCGTGACAGGCGCCATAGGCGTAGGGACGTTTCAAAACGTGTGGGGGGGGGGGGGGGGCGGCAAGCTCAGGGTGTACTTCAGGAACTTTTTCTGGAAAACGAACCCGATTACCGGAGGGGTGGGGGTAGGGATGAAGGTTTTTATCGCTCTTTATTCAAATGTCATGGCTGCTATACTATGCCAAATTTACATCTAACGCTATTCCGTACTGGTGCACAATCTTGCCCATTCAACGCATCTCTGTCATTCGGCGAATAAGGCTACCCAGCTTCCCAAGATTATTCTTCAGTTTTAACATTCTCGTCTCTGGGGAGGCGAAATTCCACTAGCGGGCAAGCATTTTGGCTCATTAAGGAGGCATCGGCCTCCACAGGGTAGATGCCAAAATGCGGGCTGGACATAGGCTGGTGAGAATTTCGGAAGTAAATCGATGGATCACACAGCGACAGATATTTCATGCACCTTGATTTCACCGGCTTCCTTTCAAAAGATAAAACTTGTTGCAGTATTCTAGGCGGAAACAAATTCGGTAGCTTGAAATTGCCAAAAACAAAGTGAAAAAACCGTAAAACTGGAGATTCTCTTTTAAAACCAAGCCACATGACGAAGGCCCGTCTCGCATATGTTTCTTATCTGGGCCCTGCTCCCGTTCGCCGTCGGCGGCCACTGCCCTGGCCCGGCTGTCTCCGGCACGACTATGAACTGATCGCATGGCTGCTTTGTTGCATATTTCTGTATCAGCATTACTACTTATTGGTGTGGGAAACATTTGTTGGGTACCTGCGACAGTATCTCTTTCCGAACCATCTTCCCTCACACCACACCACAGCAGATAAATAGCCTCCGGGAAGCCGCCTACCTTAGGTATGAATTGGCCCAACGGACATTTCAATGCCCATCATTCAACGAAGACGACTTTATAAACCGGTAGAATTCAGAAGCTTTATCAGAATTTTTTGTTTGGGCTCTACAGACATTAAGAACATCGCGAAGGTAAATTAGATCGATATGTCTGGTCAAAATGTTGAAGATAAAAATTTGATTACAGATCTAGTGGTCAACAAGGTGTATTAACAGCCCAAGCCATGCTTGTCTGGAAATGTTCACTTTTCAATTAGAATCGATTAGCGATGCAATTTATGTCGCGCGCTTCTTGACATGCGCTCCCTCAAATTTTAACAGCAAAAACCCCCACACCAGGCGTTGCAGTCTCTATAGTCCACGGAGCGTTGGCCCAGCAGCTAACTTGTAGCCTTGGCCTACCGGTGGACGATAACGATGACACTTCCGAAATAATTACTTTTTTACACATTAAACGATTGGTAATACAAGTAATGTGACGTGAACTTGAGCGTGCGTACCCGAAAATCTTGAAAACAAAACCCCGACTACGGGCGTTGCAGTCTCCGTAGGCCGCGCAGCGTCGCCCCAGCAGCTA